GTAATTTTTTCTCTGGTGATAAATTAGGAAAGGCGGATGCATTGAGACCTGCGTGCCTTGTACATCAGTCACTGAAAGTAAGCGTACAGGTGCGGCAGCTGATGAAGGCAAATTGTATGTGGGCCTTCATAGTGGGAGGCTTCAAGAACGAGAAGGGATGTCTTGCTGCAGTTGTACAGGGTCTTGGTTAGACCACACCTGGAGTACTGTGTTCGGTTTTGTCTGCTTAACTAAGGAAGTACGTTCTGACTATGGAAGCAGAGCAACAAAGATTTACCAGACTGATTCTTGGAATGGCAAGACTGACATGAAGATCAGTCAGGACGATGTTCTTTTGGAGTTTAGAAGAATGAGGAGGAAACTCATAGAAATCTCTCAAATTCTAAATAGGGCTAGGTGAATGTGGGAAGAATGCTCCCAACATCTGGGATTCCAGAACCAGATATCACGGTCTAAGCATATAGGATAGGCTATTTGGGATTGAGATGAGGGAGTAATAAATCTATAATTCTCAGCCACAGAAAGCATTGAGGCAAAAGCATTGTTTTTGTTCAGCTCGGGACTGAGTGCTTGCCTGAATGCATGAAGGACTTCTAAAGATGGCGCAGGCACAGGGGATGCTGTTCAATTCTGGGTTATCTGCTGAATTGATGAATTGTTCTATGGACAGTGCATTGTAAGATTGAGCTGAAAATGGACAAGTGGGACACCGTGGGACTGGGATAGATGCTTAATGAGGTGAACTTGGTAAGATGCAGTAAGAAACCTGCTAAGCTTTGTGTGGAAATCTCTCCAAAAAACTTGACTTGATGAGGGCTTAGCCAAAAAAAGTAAGGTTCAGCACATGGAATGAAAGGGTCTGATGACTTGGGTAGAAGGTAGGTTAAGGAATGGGAGGGTCATGGTAAATGGGTGTTTTTCTGATGGGAGAAAATTGTGCAGTGAGGTCTTAGAGTCAATGTTGGCACCTTACTTTTCTTATTGTTTCTAGAAAATTGGTACTTGGATGTGGAAGTACAATTTCAAAATTTATGGGCAATACAAAACTTGTCACTGCAGTAAACAGTCAGCATGATAGTAGAAAACCTCAGGAGGACATAGTCTGGTGAAGTGGGCAGATATTTAATACATACAATTTTGGTTGAATAAGTGTGAAGTGATGCATTTTGAAAGAAGCAACACAGAAGTGCCGTATAAGGCACTATTTGGCAAGGTGCAAGAACAGAAGTATATGGAGAAATATATTCACAAATCTGGGAAGTTTTTTGGGCAATTTGAAGAAGCAAGCATAGAATACTTTTTGTTTACAGGAATGTTGAATTCAGAAGTAAGGAAGACCTGCTAAAACTTTACAAATCCTGGGTTAGGCTTCAGGGAGTGTTGTGCATACCTTTGTGAGCTACACTTTTAAGGAGAATTCCATGGAAGATGGTATTGAGAATGTTTATCAGGATGACACCAGGGATGAGGCAACTCGGCTACGTAAACAAGAGAAACTGAGATTGTTCTCCATGTCGTACAGAAGGTGAAAGAGAGGGCTAATAGCCAAAAATATAAAGGTTTTAATAAAAGTATGGGTAAATTTACCTTTCTGGCAAGTGGATTGCCAATTGGAGTTCATGGATGTAAAATAATTGGCAAATGAACTTGAGGGAAAACTAGGAATTTCCTCATACTGGATTAAGATATCAAGTACACTTCTGAAAGGATGACAATATTGGATTCCAGAAGAACTTTTCAAATCCATGCCCAAAATTTTCAGAGTACTAACTTGCAGTAATGCAAAAAAGTTATGGTGTGAAATGAAGCACGATGATTCTTTTGAACTACTGCTTGGGGTGACCTTGCAGATGTATATAAAATGAGGGGCTTGGAAAGGGTGAACAGCCAAGGTTTTTTTCCCGAGGGTGAGAGAATCCAAAACTGGAGGGCACAGGTTTAAGGTGAGAGGGGAAAGATTTTAGAAATGACCTGAGGGGTAACTTTTTCCGTCAGTGTGGTGCATGTTTGGATCAGTCTGCTAGAGGAAGTGGTGAAGGCGGATACAAGTAAACGTTTTAAAAGGAATCTGGATGGATATATGAATAGGTTGGATTTAGAGGGATATAGGCTAAATGCTGGCAAATGATGCTAGGTCAGATTGGAATGTTTGTTTGGTGCGGATGAGTTGGACTGAAGGTTCTGTTTACCATGCTGTATGACTATGATTTTGACTCCTCTGGAATCTTGTACGTTTCAATAAGATTGTCTCTCATTATTCTATATTGAAATTTGAGGCCCAATCTAGTCAACCTCTCCTCATAAGACAGTGCCTCCATTCTCTGGATCATGAATCTTATCTGGACTGCCTCCAATGCTAGCATGTTCCCCTTTAGAATAGGGGCCTAAAACTGCTTACAGTATTCAAGCTGTGGTCCCTACTTTTGTATTCCAATCCCTTTGAAATAAAGTACAACATTCCACTTGCCTTCCTTTATTAGCTGTTAAATTTGGATTCTGGCTTTTTAATTTCGTGGACGAGGATTCATTACTTTCTGCAGTCTTTTTCTATGTAAATAATATTCAACTCCTTTATTCTTTCAGCCAAAGTGCATGCTAAGTTTTTGCTCAATCTGCAGATTCTTCTTGTCATCCTCACCACTTGCCTTCCCGTCTATTTTTGTGTCATTCACAGCCATGGCTATAGTTCATTCACTTTCCTCATCAAAGTCAATAATGCATTTTGTCAATAATTGTGTCTTCAGCCTGTGATACTGAAACTAGGATTAGGTAATTAACGCAAGATTACCAGTGTTGCTGGCATCTCCGAAACACCTGATGAAAACATAAGTATCTTGGTGACAATGCTGTAATCATTTTTAAAAAATCTACTTACCACAGTCCAGCTTTGATGTAAAGTTTGAGGTATGTGATAATAAAGAGGGTATCATCTTTTGGATACAGCATAGCCAGGAGCAGAAAAGCAAGATTAAGATAAACGGGTGTTTTTAACTAAGTCTGTTTGGGAGTTGTTTATTCCCAGATGTCATTTGGACAAAAATCCCAATTGAATAGGGGAAAAAAAAAATCAAATGACAAATAAAAACCTGTCTTCAATGTACAAGAATACTGAATGAAAATACTTGAAGATGTATTTGGAGACTTGTATGGAGTGATGAGGTACCCATTTTAACAGACGTTAGAACAGTAGAAGACCCTTAGAAAATATTTGGTTGCATTGTTCCAGGAAAGTAAATTTTACAATGTGAAGAAATGATTTAAAAACGAATGTGGGGCCTCTGACCAACCAACTTGCTGAATTCTAACTTAGCCTTTGAAGTTTAAGTGTTGCCATCCTGTGAAAGACTGAAAATTTAAAGAGAAATCTGAACATTCTATTATTAACATGACTAAGATTTTACAGTTGTAAACAAAAAAGATATATTTTTAGTATTCAAGAAGAGTAAAACAAAACAAGCACTGTCAACTGTAAGTGGCATGAAACAAAGCATAATTGTTGATGAGTTTTTTCTGCAACCGGAATATTGTTTGCAGTGTAGTTCCACAGGACTCAGTAATAGGTGCTGTACTTGTATGATGTATTCATAATGTCGGGGGCATAATCGAGAAGTTTGTAGAGAACCCAACAACTAGCCAAGTGGTCGATAGTGTGGAGCACGGCTGTAGATGCAGGAAGCTATCAATGGACTAGTCAGGTGGGCAGAAAACTGGCAAATGGACGACAGTCCCAAGAAGGGTGAGGTGATGTGTTTGAGGAAGTGAAACAAGACAAAGGAATACGCACTTGATGGTGTATGCTGAGAGATGTCAATGCAATGAGGGACATTGGAGTGCATGTCCACAGATCCCTGAAAATATCAGGGCAGGTTGGTAAGAGTTAAGAAGGCATTTGGAATTCTTTGCTTTTATGGCTGCGGTCCAGAATTTAAGAACAAGGATGTTATGCTCAAACTGTGTAAGTGATTAGTTAAGTCACAGTTCTGATCATCTCGTTACAGTAAATGATGCAATCACATTTGTGATGGTAGAGAGGAGATGAGAGGATGTTTTAAAAATTATTCCTTCGAAGGATGAGGGCGTTGCATTTATTGCCCATCCCGAATTGCCAAGGAAGCAGTTAAGAGTCAACCACATTGGTATGGGTCTGGAGTCGCATGTAGGCCAGACCAGGTAAGGGTGGCAGTTTTGTTCCCTAAAGGGAGTAAAGGTTTTTCCAACAATTGACGATGGTTTCATGGTCATCATTAGATTCTGAATTTCAGATATTTGTTTAATTCAAATTCCACCATCTGCTATGGTGGGATTCAAACCCACGTCACCAGAATAGTACCTGGGTCTCTGGATTAACAGTCCAGCGATAATACCACCTAGTCCATTGCCTTATCATTCCTTTGCCAGAATTGGAAATATGCAGCAATGAGACAAGATTGGATAAGCTGAAGTTATTCGACTTGGAGGAGGCTGAGGGGAAATTTGATGGACGTGTACGAAATGGTGGGGTACCTGGATAGAGTGGATGTGAAGAGTCTGTTGATTTTTACGGAGAGGTTACTGACAATGGGATTCAGACTTCATGTGATAGGTGGAATCGTAAGAGGTGGGTGACGAGTTGAGGCCAGATTTTATCTTTTGGAATGGCAGAGCAGGCTAGAGGTGTTTTTTTTAAAAAAAAAAAAAAAAAATCTGCTCCAGCTCCCAATCCTTAAGTGTGTGATCAGTGAATGTTTAAGCATACCTTCTAAAACTGCAATCTGAAGATAGCTCTTCCCAGTTTTGCTGAACAGAATAGCCTTTATTGTCACACATACTGAGTATAGTGCAAAGTTTATACATCACCAATTGCAGTGCCGTTTTAGATACAAAAGTACTTGGATGAAGCTTCTTTAGTTACAAGATCTTAGACAATAGAGCAATAAAATTCATTCTGAATTTGTCTTCATTTGTCATGAAATTCATGATAACCAAGCATAACATGACTTTTTTAAAATTCTTTATTAAAGAGATTGTGCAGTAGATCCAACCTGCGTGCTATGCATGGAATGCTTCTTGGCAAGTGTGCACAGAGCGCATCGATATAGGGTAAGTTGCTAAAGTACTGACACTTCTTTGGCTCGTTTTTCTATCTATCCTTTTCACTTGCATTTTAATGGGACAACAAATAGACATCGCGCATAAACCCTCCTGTGTCTAACAATGGTTCATATTAAAACAGAAAATTTGTTTTTCTTTACTGACTTATTAATTTAGAGTATCTTGTGCATGTGGACTAAGCTGTCCTTTCATTGCTCACTGCTCACTGTGCTGATTTGCCTGATGACAAATCAGATGAAATAGATGTGAAAATTAGCGTGTTGGAGGAGAGAGAAAGTTGCCAGAGTTACTGCTTTTTGTCTTTGCTGCCCATAAATTGCATAGCTGAGTAGCTTGAAGACAAGAGGGATGGTGATGGTTTGGTGGACTGCAGATCATGTGGTTCAAGTTTAAATGCCCTTTCAGTTTTAAATGCCCTAGCAAACCACTGAATGATAACTAGCAGCACCAAAGTCTGATGAAAGTCATGAAACCAGATAGACCATCCATCATGAACCATGGCACAAAAATTTAACAGCCCTGTCGACCCCAGGGCCCTCCTTGATAACGTCTGGGGGCTTGTGTCAAAATTGGGACAGATCTTTGAACCAACAGACTTGTCAATCACCTGACATGGTTGTTCTCAGTGAATCATTTTTTGTTGCTAGGCAGTGATTATTCCCAACAGGAGAGAATCTAACCTCTGCCCCTTCACATTCACTGGCATTATTGTTGCTGAATCCTCCACTATCAATATGCTTGGGGTTCCCATTGACCAGAAACTGAATTCAAACTGCCACATAAATATTGTATTGACAGGCATGGTTAAGAGACTGGGAGTTCTGTGTTGAGTAACTGGCCTCAATTCTGTCCATTATCTCCAAGGCACAAGTCAGGAGTGTGATGGTATACTTTTTATTTCTCTAGATGAGTACAGCACCAGCTCAGACCTAAAACTCATAACCATCTAGGACAAGTAACCCACTTGATTGACAGTACTTCTAACACCTTCAATATTCACTCCCTCCACTACTGACACACAGTGGCAAAAGTATGTACTGTCTACAAGATGTACTGCAACAACTCATGAAGGCTCCTTTGACAGTACTTTGAAAGCCAAATAGAAGGGCAAGGGAAGCAGATACTTAGAAACAGCACCCACCTGCAAGTTCCCTTCCAAGGCATGTACATCATACCCATTAAGAAGTCAGTTCACCACCTACTTCTGAAAGGTTATTAGGTGTGGGCAATTAAGTGCTTGCTTAAACGAATTAAGTTCAAAGTTTGTGCTTTTGGTGCATTCATCTAGAAAGATGTCAGTGTGGTTCGGTATAAATCAATGCTTCCACGCAAGAAAGGAAAATGTATTCTGATAACCTGCCCAAATTCTGTTCTTGTTATTTTGCTATTGTCTAATGAAGATAAGTCGAATACCTTCATATTTAAATGTCGAAATGAAATATAGGTTTGTTTCCTTGATCAATTTGAAATTGTGAATGTTGCCAGATTGTATCTCTGTAGATACATTTTTACCTTATTTTCACTGCTGAAGCCTTCATACGTGCTATTCTCAACTTTTCAAATGCACTGAGCCTCATAACTGCACTTTAGTTTTGAATAATGCAGAGCTCTGTAAATCTGCTTCCTATCCTTGTGAAAAATCTGTACACATTGCTTCCATTTCTGTCACGTCACTGAATCATAGAATCTCAATAGTGTGGAAAGAGGCTGTTCGGCCCATCAAGTCTATTCTGATATTTGAAGAGCGTCCTGTCTCCACAACCCAGCTTTCACCATGGCTAACCCATTTCACTGGACACTATGGGGTAATTTCACATGGCCAGTCCAACTAACCTACGCATCTTTTGGACTGTGGGAGGAAACCCATGCAAACGTGGGGAGGATGTGCAAACTCCACACAGGTTGTCACCCAAGGCTCGAATTCAACCTGGGTTCCTGGTATTGTGAGGCAGCAGTGCTAGCCACTGAGCCACCGTGTAGCTTCGTTGCCCATTCCTCAGCATAATTTCATAATCTTTACTCTCAACTATAGGTTCTTCCATGACCTTGCTGCTCTTAATCCCTCTGATCTTATAGCTTTAGTTTATTTATGCTTTCCTTTCCCAAGCTCTACCATCACTAAAAGACCTTTCAGCCATCGTTCCACACCTTTGTACTTTCCATTGCTCCTTGCTACTTTGCACTTGTTCAAAAGTCTCTTTCTTCAAGAGTAGGTGCTCCTCTAAGACCACAAGGAGTATGACTCTTAAATGTAGAGACACATTGGCTCAGTATTCTGGCTAATATCAGAACAGATTTGACTGATGGCAGTTTACTTTAAAATTTCCCACTTCACTATAAACCATTTACCTTTTGGCCAACGTTCAGAGTATGGCCAAAATACATCCATTGAAGGTCACAAAGGAGAAATCTATTCACTGCAGAAGTAGCGTTGCAGGCTGAGAATTGCCCCTTTTATGGGATACTAGCTGCCTTTTCTCAGGAGTTATTTCTTAAAGTCACTTTGTCAGCAACTGAGGAACGCTGCATTTGTCCAGCAAGACAATGAAGTGGTAGATAGGTAGGTCAGGGGCTGTTGGATCCTGCAAGGTTGAATTGGGTCTGGGGTGATATGAGCTGCAGTTGGGTCAGATTGGGCAAGGGGTGGTAGGGAATTGCAAATGGGGAGTCGGTGGTGGTTGGGAGTTTGATGGGGGGATTTTGAGTGGGACTTGAATCCTTCTGGATATCTATTAAAATTTAAGTGAATTTGAAACCTCCAAATTCTTTGCCTTCAGTGAACTTTTTTGGAGAGTTCCAGACACTCCATTTTGCCCACTGGAAAATTCAATTTCTTGGGCAATTCTCACGTTTAGCTGCTTTGGGATTTGATACACAACTCCAACCCATGCTGTTTTGGCAATTCTCTGGCCATCAGACTATCTGGACCATTACTTGATTAGAGGTGCTGTTGAAACAATTGTTATAATCATATTAAGTTTGATTTAGTTGCATTTGGAAGTACGTGTGACATTTGTGAAATAAACTGCCCACATTTTAAGATCTTAAATGATCCAAAGTTCTGAGTGTTAATAAGTAAATCCAAATGATCTGGTCATCACTGGGAATTTGAACTTGATTGGAATTCCACAATAGTGATATTCAGGCAGTAGTTTTTCTCCTTTGAATTGCTTTTGTAATCTGTAATAACTGGGACAGGAATTTAATATAACCATGCTTTATCTAGATGACTACTTCAGGTGGAGGGGGTTTCTGTGACTGTGGAGACACTGAAGCTTGGAAACAAGGCCCGTCTTGTCTGAAACATGAACCTACAGTCTCAGGAGCTATGGAGGAGGTAAACATATTCTTGTGATCAGTTATTTAAAATTGTTTGTGTGTGTGTGTTTGTTTTATTTTGGAAATGTAGGCTTTTATGTTTATGTTCAAAATGTAAATTTTTAAAAAAAAAAAAAAATTTACATATTTTTCTCATCAACCTGTTGAAGGTTGTTATTGCACATGTATGGAGCAGGTGGGACTTGAACCTGGCCCTCCCAGTCTAGGGGTAGGGACACTACGCATGTGCCACAAGAGGGTCCCTCAAAATGTCTGTTATTCACATTTATCTGTATTAACTGAACCTGGCACCCATGTTCCACTCTTCAGCTGACTTTTATGCTCATCTGATATTGTAGGAATATGTTTTGCAGCCCTGACTTGGAAATAAGTTAATTTTGACATTTGTGCTTTATGCCTAAATCATTTATGTAAATAGAAAATGAAAAGTTACAAGTTAGATCATTGAGGCACTGAATAACCCGCATCCCATCGAGAAGCTGAAGATTAATTTTGCATTGCTCTTTGTTCTCGTTTCCCAAACAATTTCTGACCACTTTGGTTTATTTATTTCTTTAATATTTGAAGTGTAGGTCTTGCAAGGCATCTTGTATTTTGTAATTCTATAAATGGGTTCAATGATTTCCTGTTTTTTAGATTTGTGTTTTTACTAAATAAAATCAATTGCCCACTTGTCAGGCATGATCTGCCTGTTACAGTTTCTAACTGACTTCACCCAAATAGCCTAAATCTTTCCAACTGTTGTGAATTGGATTCCAAATTACACACTAGAAATCTAGCTGCAAGTGAGACTGTTATTGGCCTAAAATTTCCTAATATATCCCTTTTTGTTTCTTGAACAGGGATGTGAAGGTTGCATTGTATAGCACAAATTTAAAGTTGCCAATATGATTATTGTTTTGACTATTTTCACACTGCTTATTGACCTGCCCTTGGGTGGTGTAAGCCGTTTGTTAGCCCAATACCTGTGTTGATCTTGCTGTAGTTGGCACAGATGCTTGCTTATTTCATTGTAATGAATGAACATGAAATTGTCAGATAATCAGTGAGTAGCGTTATGACTGAAAATGAACTTCAGAAGTCCATTGATGAAGCAGTTGAGATGGTTTTTATCCCACTCCGCAAAGGGTTTATGCGAGAGCTTTGGTGCTGGGAGGAGAACAACCTTAGATGTCTTCTAAGCAACCTCTTTGCTGATGTTATTTTATACACCTCTGGAGCAGGTGGTTCTTGAACTCTGGTTCAGAGGTAGGGACACTACAAGTGCACCACAAGAGCCCCAGAGTACAACGTTACGGCCTGACTGGAAATCAGCCACTCTTGTCATTTACGTGATAGAATGCATATAGAAGTCGGCTGTGATAAGTTGTTTCAATCACTTAGTCATATATCTTTACATGTTATTGTTCATTATCAGGCTTTCTGCTGTTGTGTTTAATGCGTGTTGACCTTTAATTGACCCTTATTTTCATAGGATCCATTGGCACATTTATCGGAAGACATGGTTGGACGTGCCTACGAGATTTTTGCAATTGCATTCAAATATGCTGTAGATATGTTAACGTGGGTGGAAGAAGATAGACTACCTGCTGGTTTAGAGCCTTTGTAAGTATCAGTAATGAATGTTGTGATTTCTATTTATAGATAGAAATTGCTGTAAATTGCAGATTTCTTAAAACAAAATTCAGTTTAAAATAATTGTAGGTCTTTCTTTTTTGAGATCTTTTGCTATTTTCTTCCCTATCCCACCACTACCCCAGTTTTATTTGTTACCTGTATAATTGTGGAATTTCTGGGTTTGCTGTTCAATGTATCCTTGAGCAATGCTGAAAGAGGACATGGCACCAACGCAATCTTCCCACCTTTACAGCCTGTTTTTCTTTTCTTGCAAGACAACAAGGTTGAGTGGCATTTAATGACCTGTTTGTATTAATGGCTGTTGAAAATTGACTTTGGGCTGTGTACAGTTTAGTGTTGCTGTTTAAAATAATTAGCATTTTATGAATTTGAGATAAAGAATGTAATTTGGGGAGCCCGTGTTCCAATGGAATGATTGCAGAATGCAAAGGAAGTTAATTATATTCAGAGGTAGTCGGAACTGCCGATGCTGGAGATCTGAGGTAACAATTTTCTGAAGACGGGTCCAGACCCGAAACGTCAGCTTTCCTGTTCCTCTGATGCTGCCTGGCCTGCTGTGTTCATCCAGCTCTACACCTTGTTATCTCTTAATTATATTCAGTACTTTTTCTTTAATGTGTTTTTCATAGAGAACTCGGAGGTGCACCTTCCAAAAAGACAGTCAGTTTTCATTTATGTGCTGATAACCAATTTTAAGCCCCTACCATCCATGAGTTTTCCATTGTCAAATTATCTGGCCCTTTGTCTGAAATCCAGTCCTGGTTGATTAGAAATTTCTGCAAAATCCAGTTGGGAAGATCAAAACCTTTGTCTTTAATCTCCCTGCAAACTCCCTTCACTAATTTGAGATTCCATCCCTCTCCCGGCAGCCATCTTCAGTTTGAGCAAAATTATTTTCAGCCTTGCTGTTAGATTTGATCATTTTTCATGCTGCCATTAAAATTACCTATTTACATCATCATAACAATGCCTGACACCACCATTTTCTTAGTTTGTCTATTGCTGAAACTCTCTTTTCTCTACACTGGCTCCAGGCTGGTGCCTCTCATTCTACATCCATATACTAGGTCATCCAGCAATCTGCTTCCCATGTCCTTTGCCTGCAGTGTTTCTGACAGGCAATGATTGACTTCAGAGATGTGGCTCCCAAGACAGCATGAGAACTTTCTGCTTACCCAAGAAATGTAAGGGGATAATCCATCTCAGCCTCCTCCAATTCCCCATTGCCACAGCAGCCAATTTAATTCACTCGATCAAGAGATGCCTGAAGGCACTGGTTGCAATCAAAGCTATGGGCTCTGACAACATCCCTAGAGCGTAATCCAATTCTTCTCTTTGCCCTGCCCCATGAATCCTAGACTATTTTCTCGCTATTGTACTTATTCATTACTGTGCTAACAATGCTACCCACCACCCTTTCCTTCTTCTTTGTCACATAGTCATGTACTTATGAATATTGAGCTTCCAACTTTGATCTGCTTGTAGCCGTGTCTTTACAATAGACACAAGTTCATGCTCTTTGGCCTCTATTTGTACCTCTGATTAATTTATTTTGTTGAGAATGCTACTTGCATTTAATATAAGGTTGCCATTGTCTTAGCAGACCACAGGGCTGCTGTCGCATTCGGGAGAGACGATAGGTGGTGGGTTAACCTGGGGTCACCTTACCTCAGGCGAGAGGAGAGATGCAGCTGATAAAATTTTGAGAGAATTTTGGACTTGCTAGTCAATGGGGTCATTCTTCCTGCATTTAGCCTATCTGGAGCTGTTTGAATTTTCTGGGTTTTTCTGAGATATCCCCTCATTCTTCTAAACTCCAGGGAATATAGTCCTAACCGATCCAGTCTTTGTTCATCCGCCAGTCCTGCCATCTCTGATCAGGCTGGTAAGTCTTTGTTGCACTCCCTCCATGGCTAGAACACCCTTCCTCAGATAAGGACACCAAAATTGCACACAGTACTCCTGGTATGGTCACTTCAAGGCCCTGTACAATAGCAGCAAGTTATCCCTTTTCCTGTACTAAAATCCTGTTGCTAGGATCGTCAACATACCATTGATCATCTTCACTGCCTGCTGCACTTCCATGCTTACTTTCAGCTAATGTTGTGCAAGGACACCCAGGTCTTTTTTGCATCTCCCATTTTCCCTGTCTCTTACCATTCCAATAATAAAATACCTTCCTGTTTTTGCTTTCACAGTGGACAACCTCACATTTATCCACGTTATACTTGATCTAAGGGGTGTGAGCATTTCCTCAAGCAAACTGTTCAGGAAACTTTATCCTCTTCTTGATGGCATATAACGTCTGCAGCTCCGACTTCAGTCCTTCAACTTGGATCTGAAATTGCTCAAGCTGTAAACATTTCCTACAGATGTGTTTACTGTGGGTTACCTTGTTGTGCAGCAATTCCTATGTGCTGCAGATGCAACATATCAGCCGACCTGCCCATCTCTATCATGTTTTCTTTAAATTGTGATTCAAATCACACTCATCCTTGCTTTTTACACTTGGCAAATCTCCATTCTGAGCACTTGTAATTTTTTTTTTGTATGCACTAATATTGATCTGATGCTTAACAAACAATTTGTAAGGAAAAGAGAAAAAACTTCAAATTCTAAGCACAAAAAAACTTCCCTTGTGTATTAAAGACGAGAAGTACTCACCAATCAGCTGCATTGTTTAGACAGCAGGAACCAAATATCTCTCACATGAACAGAAATTACTGGAGGAACTCGGCAGATCTGGCAGCATTTGTGGAGAGAAAGCAGGATTAATATTTCAGGTCAAGTGACCCTTCTTCAGAACTGAAGAAACCTCTCGCCCCTCCCTCATTGCAGTACTTGAGACACTCAACTCCAGCACTCTGTTGCAATTCATACTGAATTGGTTACTAATAAATCCACCCAACAGGTTAGTCGGTCAATGAGGTTTCAGTATCAGCCAGTTTTTAATTAAGCTGCTGTTTCCATGCATCACTTGAAAAAATATCCTAAATGCTCATAGCTACAAAATCTTGTAGATTTGCACAAATACAAGTTTTACACACTTCATTACTCAGCAACTGCACACTGTAAGTCCATACCTGAATTCCGCTTCCTTGCTGAATGAATTTATTATTGTATCCTACAAGTTTTATTCTCGCCACAATTGAATTTCCCTCTCCCACACTCAGCAGTGCATTCCAGTTCTTGACCATTGCTCGGTAAAAAGACTTTGCTCATTTGCCCATTGATTAATTATGCAAATTAGTTTCATTTTGAAATACTAGTGCTTTGATCAACAAAGGCTATGAATGAACTCTTAAATACACATGATTGCTTTCTCTTAAGGGAAAAAGAAGATACCTACTATTGTATGTTATTTAATGATGAAGTCCATACTTATGAGCAAGTGATTTACACCCTGCAGAAGGCTGTGAACTGCACACAGAAGGAAGCTGTCAGCTTTGCGACCACTGTGGATAGAGATGTGAGTTGTTTTTGTAATATTTTACACTAGCCTCACATTTAATGTAAGTACACAAAAAAGTTAAAACTGGAAAGGTTTTTTTGGCAGAAAAGTTGCTTTAAAACTACTGATGTGCAATTTTCTGAATGTGGTAGTTGCCTGAAGTGAGGGAATTGAATCAGAATTGATCCTGCAGTTTCTAATTTTGAAATGATGTGTAGAATTTGTGTTTTGAAGATGTTTATTGTATTGTCATCCATATATGATTATCTTGCCTAACAGGCTTCAACTGGAAATATAACTTGTAAAGTTTCCAAAATTTTACAGCCGAAGTGCATAAACGGCTGTTTTTTATGTCATTACATTTTGGATCATTATGTTAGTTGATATTCATGATTCAGTAATGGGTGGGTATTTTAGACATATTCTGTCAAGTTGATTTTTCTTTTTGCCATGCACACCCTATACTTATTCAGTCAAACTATTCTTAGGCTGTTGAGAATTTCTGAAAACAGTAGCTCATCAAAGAGCGCATGATAAAGCCAAAGCTATTATTCCATCTCTCTGTTTCGTACAGCAACACCACCCCCGCCTCGAGACACAGATTTTAGAATTGCACATCTGAAGTCACAACTTCGTGTTTTGAGTGTTTTTCAGCTGCAAATCTGTATTCTAGCATTAATTAGTAGCACAACACCACTACACCTTTGTATCCAGCGTTGCAGATGGAAAAATAACTTGTTTAGAGTTTTGAACTTCATGTTGACACCTTGGTGCATTTATACTCATAATTTTATTTCCAGAGTTTGGGTAGAGATTTCAGAGTTTGGGTTACAAAAATGTTGTTCATAAAATACATTTTAATTTTCTTATTTTCAGGGTCGTAGATCAGTTCGCTATGGTGATTTCCAGTTTTGTGAGCAAGCAAAAACAGTTATAGTGGTGAGAATTTCTTCCCAACTTAAAATACAAATGTGTGTTAATAAAATGGAATGATTACTCCATAGACGATGGCTGTCTGTGCATGTGCAGAAGTAGTTCATGATGTCAGCTGGCCGTGACAGGTCACAGGAAGCATCCGTATATGCACTGCTGATGTTGCCATGCACAGTGACATCAGCACCTGCACACGTACAGATGGCATCTCTCTGGCCACTGCAGGAAGAGGGGTTGGTGAAGCGACTGGGGATACTGGACCCAAGGAAGCTTGGAGCCAGGGGAGAGCTTCCTTTTCCAAGTGGAGTCCCTTTCCACTGCCTCGTTGCCAGGCCATCATTTGCCATGATGGACAGTCCCAGTGTAGTTGTTTGTGGTGGATTGCATTTGATGCTGGAATGAGCGGCTCTTCAAATGTTTTGTTAAGCCTATGAAATAACTTTCAACAGAAAACACAGATGATGTTCTTGGCATCTGCTGTGAAATGGCATTGTTAAGCTGTATTTGTGCACATGAACGGGCACAATAACTACAGCCTTCATAAAAACAGTCAGAGGTTTCTGTATTTATGCACGTGATTCTGCCGTTGAACAGCTTGATATTGTTTTTTCAACATTTTGATTTGCTCTAGAGGAATACAAGTCGACAGACAAAGCCACTGAAGGTGCAAGTAATGCATTCATCTGTTGTTGCACATCAGAACTTTGCCATAAAAGTATTAATTTGGCTGAGTCAGGTGATTGGTTACTCAGGTAAGCATCTTTTTAAAAAATGCATAACTAGTTGACCTTGTAATGCATAGCAGCCTTTACTTAAAAATCGATATAGTTTGATTGTTTGATTACAGTGATAACTACTTATTTTGATATTTTTTAAGTGGTCAGCAGTAAAACTTTACATTAAAGGAAGCTTTTTTGGTAACAGAATGTGAAATCCGTTTGAGACATGTTCAGAACACTACCCCCATTAGAGACTGATGAAAGATTATTTGAATTGCCAGTGTCCAACTGGAAGAATCCCTTGACGAGAATTAAAGTTCTAAGACTTTTGCTATCATAAACTAAAAGCAATATTTTTTAACCACTATGCAGTGGGCTACTCCAAGTCCTGCCATTACATTTCCAAAGCTATCATCCTTTAAAGAATTAAATGCATGAAAGAAACAAGATAAGAAAATAAGTGGGCAGGATCTAGCATTGAATTGAAATACTGAAAGAATAGTTACGATGCAATTCCAGTGAAAAAAAACAAAAACGCCAGGACTCAATTGCTATACTGAGCAGGCAGGATAATGATTCTAAACTGTCCATCTGTAAATACAACTTGTGTTGATCCTGAATATTACAACCTGAGGATAAGTAACAGACAAACTGTTAATCCACAGAATGCACTTAAAATGATTGATTGTGGTCAGGATAGATCCTCCTGAGACATAAGTGACATGTGGAGCCAACCAATGTTATTAACACGGTTTCCTTTGCAAGGGCTGCCATGGACCTGGAATGTCTGAACAATTGCTAATCTTTGATCACTCAGTTTCTTCTCCCAAAACATTAGTTCCCCAGGTCTCCTGTGCCTGCTCCCAAGCATCTTGCGCAATCAGCTCCCTTAAACAAACTGCCAGTGAGTGTCTCTTAAGTTCCAAACCTTCTCAGCTGCTTTTGGGCTTCCTTCACTCCATGCTCAACATGGATGTGGCGGTGAAGCAGTTAACTGACTGCACTAGCAATCCAGAACCCCAGCCCATCTCTAAGAACGTAGTTTCAAATCCTGTCGTGGCTTATCGTGAAATTATATAAAAATCTGATATAAAGGACTGACCTCATGATGTCAATGCAACCATTGTTGATTGTCATTTTAAAAAAAAGTCTGGTTCACGAATCTCCTTCGAGGAAGGGAATCTGTCATCCTTACCTGGTCTAGCTTACATTTGACTTCTGATGTACAGCATAAAATACTGGCCCAGTCAGCTATACCTGTATCCTCTAAATGAATTTTTAAAACAAAAACTGCTCTTAGCTATTGATGGTTCTTCATGCTGCTTTTTAGGCCTAGTGCTTCAACACTCCCCCACTTGCAAATTGCAACTCACTCTTTCCAACAGTTAGAATCCTGTGAAGGCATCCTCACTTTATCCCTCTTTCCATGTGGATAATGGTAGTGGGAAGATAATCAGATGTTATCCAGTTTTGGTGCTGTGACAATAGCTCATTACTACTGCAGTTATAGTAGTGAAGCAAACCAGTTTCAAAGGCATTCAAGAGATTGGATAATCTGACTACTGTAAGTTGGCCATGTGCTTTGTGAGAAGTAAAGCTTGTTTTTTTTGTTGTGGTGAACGTCGCTTTTAAGAGCTAGCTTTCTCTGAGAAAAGATATCTGTGAAAAATGTAGCTGACTCCTAGTAAAGGATTGTGACCGAATTGTATGGGAGCATAAGGGGAAAGCAAAAGTATCAGCCACAGCGGGACAGAAGTTGTAGACATGAGTAGAGAGAACATCTTTCAGTAAAATTCATTTGAAACTTTGTGTGTTACCTCAAGGAGTTTAAACATTTCAGTTAACTGAAGGAATCCTAATAGTGTGTCAGACTTTGAAAATAGCCAAGCTGAGAAGAGAAAAATTTTCAAAGTAAAATTCAAGAGTTGAAGATTATTAGAACCAGGGTAGTATTGACCCAAACTGTCTATACTGAGCAACATCCTGTGTTGAACAGGCAGTCTACAACTACGGGATGATTGGAGCAGATTTGAGAGGAAAGTGAAAGGCCCCAAGAAATCTCAAACATCATATGAATCTTTGAAACAGTAGCCAAGTCAAATGCTTAATCTTCCATGAGTTTGACACATGTCTAACTTCAGTTATTGTGGGATTTCATTCATTTGATCTCGAAGGAAATTTCTGCAGTGAGATTTTGTTTCAATCATTAAACATCCATATGTTTTGTACTTTTAATGTACTGAAATTAGCTGTTTTTATGTTCATTAACTTTTGTGTCATAAAATTCTTTAGGTTTTAATTTGTGAACCTCGTTGCTTCATTCTTTCAGTAAATAGATGAGTTTTCAGATTCTCAAACTAAAATATAACATTACTGGTCTTTATTGAGATTACAACAACTGGTTGCAGAATTTCTCATGTGTAGTTGTAACCCATGACAACTTAGAATTAGAATTAGATTTATTGTCATGTGTACTGGAATGAGTGCAGTGAAAAGTTTACAAAGTCACCACTGACGGCACCATCTTAGATACAAAGTACCTAAGTATAAAAGCTTAGGAATAGTTTAGAAAACATCATTCAAATTTAAGCCCACATTTTGAGAAGAGGAAGTGAGTTAAATTGACTCGGGAAGAAAATTGGTTTGATAAAGTATGCGAAAGTGACATTGTATGTTTGAATGCTGGTTAGCTTTAATTGACACGATAATACTATAGTATGTGTAGTGCATACATCTTACAAACCTATATTAAGACTGAAAAAAAAATTTAGTATCCGTTAACTTGAATATTTGAAAAATAAGGTTGCTGTACGAGAGTACTGGACCTCCCCATCTGATAGCATGGTGTAAGTATTATTGGCTAAGGAAGCACCATTCTCTTGTATGTGTAAGTATATACAGTAAATGCTACCGTGTAAGTAATTCACTTTCACTAAAAATGATGTTTTTATAGAAGTCTTTGTGGAGGTTCCAAGTATTTAATGATTATTTGTTAAGTACGTAACAAGTTAAATTGTCAAAATATGTATGAAAAATCTGATATGTGGTCTGATTTTAATAACTTTGTTTCACTAAAGTTCACCAACAGTCATTTTGGTGATGTGTCTTCTGCTGGTAGTTTCATTTAATGTTTACCTGAAAGCTTTTGGTTTTCATTGGGCTCCTAAAATGTAAAATATGTTTGGAATTTAACCTGTTATTGCATTTAACCTTCCATATATTGAACTTGTACCTTGTACTTGAAGGGGGAAGATTCTCAAGTGGGGATGTGTTCAGGCAAGTGGAGCAAAGCAACTGGCAAACAGTCTGTTTGGTGCCACCGCACAATACCAGATAGCACTTTGATCTGACCATGTTGTGTGAAAGTAAACAGCTGGCATTTATTACAACATGATTTTTCCCCAAATAAAGGTGGATTAAGGCGAATATTGTGTGAAGTAGGATTGCAACAAAGATCAGATGAAGATAGTTCGTCCCTCGTTGACAGATTGATGCTCTGTGACTCCAAACTTTGGAAAGGTAATATTTTGTTCTATATATTTTAGTCATGTCTAAATTAAACTTATTTTGACACAAATTGGAAGCATGGTGCTTAATTATTTCTCATCCCTTTGACATTTGCCAGGCTTAAGTTTAATGCCTTGGTTTGCGATTCTCTATTCCTTTTTATCAAATTGAAGATCAAATTTAATTGTAAAATGGTCATGGTTCACAGGTTGTTCTCTTAAAGTCAGATTATTAACTAACTATTAAGAGCACATGAGTTAAGAGCAGAAGTCTGCTTTTGAACCTGCTCCACCATTTAAAAAGATCATGGCTGATCTATTTGTGCATCCAATTCCACGTTCTCATCTAGTCCTGACCACTCCTGATGAAGACAGCTATGCAAAACACAAAATATTGTGCTAATGAATACTGAACCATCTTGTTTCACAATATCTAAACTGACTGTGAAAATAGAAAATCGATGAGCTATGCATGATGGGATCTTAAGGGCACTTGATCCTATTGTGTCATCAAAGCTGGCCTCCTGAAGTTGGTAGATGGTGAGTGAAATCCTCACCAACCTAAGTAAACAGCTGTTCCTCTGGGCAGAGCACTATGTTGAGCTGTATTCCTTTTGAGATAGAGCTTTTGTGGTCCACACTTGATGCTTGTTTTGTCGTCTTTGCCAGTACTTATTACCGAGTAAACATGAAGGCACTAATGATACAGAAGGAATTTGTAAATGCAAATACATAGGTTCATTTATTAAGAAGTTGAAGACTTGGTGGTGGCATTAAAGAGTACTTGTACAAATGTCTGATCTGTTTGATGCCCCTCAGCACACTTGCTGAGTCTGAGTCACATGAAGCTTTGCATCATTTTTCCTCAAAAAATCAGAATCATACCCACTTAAATGTGTGACTCAGAACACTCTCATTCACCATTCTATTATCCAATTAAATGAACAGCCTTTGTCACTTGAGCTTGAGAAGGCAAAAGATGACATAACGAACAGAAAACACCAAGCAAGGATGGAGCCCCAGCCATGCTGAAGTGTGGAAAGTCTTGTCAAGTGCCACAGTTTCCTGACTTTGTTTGCTGCAAAGTGAATCTTGGGTCCCTTGATGCAGATTGTGGTGCATGCTTAGGGAAAGCAATAACCACTGTTGCACAACTCTAAAATGTGCATGTAGGAGCGTCAAAGTTGTATTTGGGACCAGGTTGATGATTCATAGTGCCTGTGTTCTCAGTATCTTGTTTGGCTACCAAGCATGGGTGACATTGAGTTATCAAGAAAATAACTTCAGCGATTTCCATCTTTGATTCCTGCATTCTGGGTTTATGCTGACAGGGCAAAAGCACAAATGTGACAGTCCTCTTCAAAGTTGGTATGTCCAAGTTTGTTACCACCCATCAAATAGAGATGGTTATATTAGGTAAGGGTTGTCTTCAGGTCAGAATGTGGTCCGTAACATTCTGTACGGTGTGGTAGCCAGACTCCGCCAGAAAGATATCCAAAGCTCTACTTCAAAGGTGCTTGTAAGTGTGACATGAAGATTCTAGACATTGATTTTTGCATTTGGGAGTCACTGGTTGATGACAGAAGGAAATTGAAATGTTGGCTGGTATGAGCTTCTGTGGCTAGACAGGCTTTGCAAAAGATAACAACTCTGAAAGTAACAGTGCACAACATCACTTAATAACTTCAAGATATTAGGAACTGCCGATGCTGGAGTCTGAGATAACAAGGTGTGGAGCTGGGTGAACGCAGCACGCCAGGCAGCATCAGAGGAGCAGGAAAGCTGACGTTTCGGGTCTGGACCTTTTTCTGAAGAAGGGTCCAGACCCGAAACGTCAGCTTTCCTG